GTCATTGGTTCACACTACGCACATGTAAATCGTGTTGAGACTTTGTTGTTGTGCATGAAACAACAAAACATGCCAATTTTGCCATAATTCGCTACCCACGCGTCGTGCTACTGCTTCGCTTGTATTGGTTTCAACCTTACTGTTCGTCATTGGAACTGCTAGCCCCTCTCTCTTTACCTAATTACGAACTCCTGCTCAATAATGTCTAGCCTGTACTTCAATATCCTCACTGTAATGCATATTTTATGTGTATTATCCATCAAGGAGTTTTAATGGAAGCTTGCCTCGTCAATAATTCAAAATTTTTTCACTTCAGGTTGGCTATGCTGACACGTTCGACCGGTGCCTGCTGCTTCAAGAAGAAGGGGTTAGAACCGCCGCTTGCCAACTACCGGATCTAAACTTTGCGGCTTGCGAGAGTGCCTTGAACTTGGAAGATCGATGGCAAGACATCGTGAAAAATAATGAGGTGATTTTTGCTAATTGCTTGAGTGTGACCGGAAGCTGTGGCTGCGTTTCTAATAAAACGGAAATGAAAGCGAAGGCTATCTTTCTGATCTTTGAAAAAACCTTCATCCAGCACTGGAACGACAAGGGCTGACGATGATAGGTCATGAGCGTTTAACTGGTCCCGCTGAACTTTTCGACTACCTGCGTATTATTTTCCACAGAGCTGTGGTACTCTTCTAAATTAAAATTTCCCTTCGAAGATATAAATTTCCTTCTCAAAACTCTCCAAAAATTGAGTAATCTGTTCTTGTGCTGGTGTTCATACTAAAAACTGAAAAATATATGAAAATGGTTTATTTATACAAAAGCACACCATTGGCTCCAGACACCACCAGCAACTGCAGAACTGAACCCGGATCACCCTGAACGAGGCAAAACGTCAGCACTGGTCAATCGCCTGACTGACCAACATATTTGTTTGCATTGTGCATAAATGAATCGCTTTCATATATTTTTCAGTTTAACGTCAGAAACTGTTCTATGTAAAGTCATATTTCATAATTGTGCCACTGGATATTTTATTACAATTAATACAGATATTTTCTGTAGACCAATTTCCAGATTCAACAAAGACATTTATATAGTTTTGAGTTGAATGCTGTTCATTTACACACTTCATCTTCAGTGCCGATAACAATTACAAACTTTATTACGTTTCTATAATAAATTATGTTCTTTGGATGAGACCAAAGTTGAGAAAGTGATTGCGTTCGAGATGGGCAAGGTTGTTCCATGAAGGAATGTCACGATGTCCAATGACAGTCTCATGAGGCGAAAGAGATGAGTCCCTTTGAAGAAAAAGGCCGCCAATTTCACCTCAGCCTTGCGGCTAGTCGTCGATTCATCCAAGGCTAGAACGGAAAATTTCGGTAAACTACCAGAAGGAATTGCCGGACCCGTCTGTGCGAAATTCGCAAGGCTACCGTCAGCAGTATGAGGGGGTGGCGAAACTTCATACCCCATAACAACATTGAATGTTACGCTCCGCACCTATTCGTCGTCGAATACCGGTTAGTCTAGGTGATCCAACTGATTAAGATCACGATTAAGATTTTACTGCCTAAATGTTATTACCGATTAAATCAGTGTCATTTTTCAGCGTACAAAAAAGTAAAAAAGATATATCGTAGATCACTAAGGAAAATAGCGCGATATATCACAGAAAGAAAGAAAGAATTAGGCGGCATTGTGTAATATCGCAGGAACGGAATTTTAGCAAGAAACCAGCAGGAGCACATGACCAATCTCTGGCGACCAAATAATAGGAACATATCTATATCACGTTTAGCATAGTCAAGTAGAGTTTTTTAACAGAGTAGGAATTCCTGATAATGCGTGCTGAGGACGAACCTCGCTGAGATGTTGCTAAAGTGTAAATACGTGGACGTATTGTTGAAAAAACACCTTGGAAGCTGGTTTTCAGTGAATCTGATGTGTTACTGAGAATGTCGTTTCCCATGCGACCTCTATAGGCAAAAGCTTATTTTACAACAAGCATCGCCAGGTCGTTTATCGACAAGCCGCTTAGCCCAGAAACAAATTTCTGAGACCGATGCATCGCGTTAGAATCTTGAATTAGTTAGTTAGGCCGAGGAGAATAACGGCATTGGTGTATGTGTACAGTAAGAGTATGCGCAGGCAGAGAAGCGAGTTAAATGCTTCTCGTGGTGCATTCAGATTACTCAGCCTCTTTCTTTAAAATGCTGCCGGCGGCTGCGGTTGCCTGATCGTGGTCATGTCACGTTAAGTCGGTAGAGAGGGTGACCCGTAGATATCTGACATGCTGCACCTGTTGTACAGCCTCGTTGTGAAAGATAAGTGCAGGTGAAGAGAAGTCTGTGAGTGCATGACTTTTGGTACCGCGCAGGACGCAAGGCCATTCACATGTTTTGCGCGTGTTGATCACGAATTCGTGGGAAGTGAAATGTTGATGTACAGAGATGATGCCATTCTCGTCTCGAACGCAACCCAATCTAAAGTCAATTTCAGAGGTCCCAGAACTACCGTGTCGTCAGAGCATCTTATGCATTTCAGCGGCTATGTGACAACACAGTCATTGGTAAAAATAATAAATAATGTGGAGGCTGAATGGAGCCAAGGTTGTTCAGCAACGCGCTATTGACTTTTACGAACTGGTGACGACTGGAAAAAAATTTGCCAGTCAGTTGATCAGGCAGTATTTAACGTAGAGCTCAGCCATATTCAGTAAAAGCCTCTCGCGTGGGATGCTACTGAATGCCGATGACTGGCCTGTGAACATCGCCATGTCGATTCTTCCGCTTTCCTCGAGTTTTGCCCAACTTCGTGAGTTAGACAGCAACAGCGTCGTCAGATCATGCTTTTTTTGCACGAACGGCGTTTCGCCGCTGTCTGTCGAAGTTTATATAGCCAGAACATCCATATCGTATGCAGATTTGTCATGTGAGAAAGTTCTTTAGGCCACCGACAGGCCGTACTGGTGTGTTACAAATTTTCGCGGTTGCCGCAGTGGCCAACGAAAATATAATCTAGCCTACACTACACTAGTATGTAAGCTTGTTCTTGTTTCGTAGCCGTCTCTCGGCAACGTCCACAAGAAACTCATTTTAAAACGAGCTGTATGATCTGTTGCATGCACATTGCTTTTCCACAGCTAGTCAGAACCAGAAAGCTGCCAGAAGCATGACGCTTGTAGTGTAGAACAGGCGGGAGGTTAAAATATGGAGTTGCAGGCTCGGGCGAAACACGGCTGAATGCATTTGTAACCTTTATTCGTTATCATAAATCCTAAAATAGTCGGCTAACGATACACTGATTGACATACCTGATGAATAACCTTGGACAAATCTGCTAAGGGTGAATGCTGTTCATCGGATCTTCATCTTAAACCGTTTGTAACGGCTCTATCGAGTGATGTTCCTGCTCCCTCAATTTTCAAACACTTGTTAAATAATCCCAGTTATTGCACCGGAAGCAAATATCCCTGTCCGAAAGCAGATGTATGTTTACTTTGTTCATTCGTATTGCATACTAGCCTCTTGGTGGAGTTATGCCTGTTTCGACTCCTGAAGAAGAGGTAGCTCTGGGCCTGGAGTAAGTGATCCATGCTTAACCAATCTGTCTAACAGGACCAACCTGCTTCCTCTATTATTCTCCTCTCCTCGCGTTGTTCTGCCATTTAACTCTAATAATGGTCAAAGCCACTGTTATTTCATTTTTGGTCTTTTAATAGAACGGGAAAATTAAGTTAAATATGTGAAGGAGGAATTTGAAGGGTAGGTGCAGTTATCATGATCATAACTTACTGCTAGCAAACTTCTGACTCAATAATCGCTTGAATTGTTAATGTCTGATCATTAGAAGTAGTGTCTGTATTCATACAAGTTTCACATATCTCATCACGAACGGATCTGCTGTCCTGTACAACGTCCAGTGTTGTGTTTTCTGCAGTTCGTCTGTTATCAGTAAACTATAGTCGCAAAAGCCTTTTTGAATAGGTTTTCCTTCCCTATTTTAGCCATGTTACCATATACCAGTCCCTGAATCATGAACATCAAAACATCTTGTCTGTAACCCAACTGCGCCGTTGTATTCAGAGAACATTCTGTAGACAACGATGGTAGACAAACAAACTTTAGTCCAGCTTATTACTTGCAAGGCAGGTGATATTCCCCGGGTTACATAAAGACTCATTTTAAAACTCGTGGATTTCGTTTATAATCTTATTTTCTGGTCTCCTGCATTTTGGGGCGCGTCTGAAAATTCGCTGAGATTGCTGCTAGATTCAAAACCCATTAGATACTTGGAATTGTTACTCTTCGTCATGGTGACATCATTCTGTACCGTCGGCACATGCCACTTGCTGTGGTCGCTGTTGCTGATTTCAATTTCTCCGAGTTCAGAGGTAGCTCTACTAGAAGAGCCAAGCTCTTCAGCTGAATGCCGTCACGTGGCAGCACTATATCACCCTGTTAAAGCTGCTGAACACGCCACGCCGAGTCGTCGACCGATTACGAATTTTTGTTCTGCATTCTGGCTGTTACAATCAGATGCTTAAAGTTTGCTTTGTGCTTCATAAGGTATAATGGCAATGTCAATGAAACGTAACTGAGCGTTGCTCATCGGCGAATGAAAGATGATTTTTTGAGAGTTCCATGGATTTAATATGAGGAGCAGATTTTTACTTTTGTAAGGCTTTTAAAATTTTCCAAGGGAGTTGCTTCTTTTTCAAAGTTAGGAGACAAATTTAGTCTTCTTCACTTGACACCTGCATTCTGCCATGAAGAAAAACAGTTCTGTTTTTGACAGAAACGTTGGTTTCTGAATAAAGTCTTTAACTTTCAACCTTCCTGCTGCTTGTAGCCATTGAATGCGATGCCTTCTTTAAATCGACTGGCACTGATTGAATCAGGTCAATGATTTAATTTCAAAAATTATCGTTTTATTTCCATTTCATTGATATCTTAAGCACATATACCGTAAAATAAATATTCAATACCTTTTACTGCAGCACTGACAGCTTAGCAACCACCGAACGGCGAAAGACAGGCGAAATCCATGCAAAACCAGCGCCAGCAGTCATCAGCCTGTCATCATGCTAATCGTTTCACTGCTGGAGGCGCATAATCCGATTAGATCTAAAAATAACTCGTCCGTTAAGGACTGAATCTTCAGCCAGTGAGATCTTTCGATCGTTTTTCACTGAGAAATTAATGCGCTCTAATGAAGATCACGCCTTTTTCAAACAAACCGACGCTTCTAAGATAAACGGCTTTCAAGGAAGACGGTCGTAAATCAATTCGTCATTTCATCCAGCGAACAGCATTGCTCGCATGGCATAGTTTGAAGAAGGGTGCGAATTATTCGTGCTCTGAGTGCTGTTGTCGGTTTCGTCACTGAGGCCCACTGAGTTATGCTTTTGTTTCAGTTGGCGGAGGGCGGTCGTGGGATAAGGTCCAAGTCTTTTTCTTCATCACGAATATTCTGCTACGCAGACAGTCGTAGCATTTTGGTTCCCATGTGCCTTGGCGGAATAAGACTGTGCCACAGACCCACTATCACCCTAAATCCTAGGCAACGAGTATACGGTAATCCAAGGTTCTGCTAAGTCAAATCAAAATGAAATATATGGGTGGATACCGTAATCTGATTGGCTGATCAGTTATAAGATTTCACGGATATCCTGTCGACAAAAGACAATGGATTCCATTATTCATCGCCCTTTCCTTATTTGGTACATGAAGTGCACCAGCTTGAATTTTTATCGCTCTATCAAGTTACAGATTTTAATTTTAATGTCATCAGACAAGGACGAATGACATTTTATGAAAAGAAATTATACCAGAAAATTCATACATATTTTATTAAATGTCTAATGCTACGAAAACGGCTGACTCATGTACGTGTGCCAGCAATCACCATACCAAAAATGGCGAAGTTCTTAAGATCTAAGGCCAGTGGAAAGCAGCAGAATGACTGCTGTGCTTTCAAGGTATGAAGATAGCGCTTAAATCCTCCCGTCTCTTGTTGCTGATTGCCTAGGCTTCGTTTAAACAGGTCGTCGCTGCGCCCTATTTGTTTGAGCATCCTAAGCAGTTGCATTTTGCATCATTCAGTTGGCTTGATCAATAGCTTTGCTTAACGCTAAGATAGCCCTTTGGTAACGCATAACTCTTTCGAGGGCAGATTCTGCGGAGGAATGCACCACCCCCTTGCTCCTGGTTGCCCAGAAGGAAGAGCATAAATATGCCGCAGTGTCTGAGTATTTGTGCACCTGCAGTTCCACATACAGCTCACATCATTTTGTTCCAAAAAGTCCCTCGCACCTTGTACGAACGATGCTTCAGGATCTGGTTTTCTTTAATGTGATGTTCAAGAGGTAGCGTATAATAACTGAGAAAAAAAAATCAAAGATAAAACCTTAAATTAGTTTGTTCAGCTAATTGCTCGATAGTTTATCAAAATTCTAACGTTGGAATGTTGTTGGCTTCTTCGTCAAAAACTAAAGCATAAATTAATAGTGTTTTGTCTGTTTCTGCCTTGACTCCAATCGTTGTTTGTTTTTGTGATTCCTTAGTGTTTTATTCCTTTCTCGCCTCACAGTGACTGCAAATCTTTTCATAGAGCTTAACGAAAAAGCAGCAAGAGCAACAGGAAGGACTTTGGGAATTGGTGTGCACCGAACTGAACTACATCCGACAGATCGGCTCGCTGGTCGAACTGCAGAACTGCCTGTCGAAGCTGCTCATAGAACACTACTCGACCGAGCTCGATATCGAGGCGATCTTCGGCAACATCAACGACATCTGTCGCGCGAACCTGCGGTTCTGGTTGCAGTGCATTTGCCCGATGTTGCAGTACTCGAGGCAAACCGAGGAACCTCTGCAACCGGCAAAAATGGAAGAAGGATTCCAGTACTTCAGTCAGTTCTTCACGCCGTATATTCCGTATTGCTTGGCGCACGTCGACATGCTGTGCTACATCAGGCAGAAGTACAAGGAGAGCGAAGTATTCAGGGAGTTCTTGCTGGTGAGCTGATACGATTCTTTATTAATGTTACTTCTGTTTCTCAAACCATTATAATCAATACTGAGCATCTTTATCTGTACAAGTGTGAACTCTCCAAAGCCTATATATGTGTATTGTTGTCGTTGTTGTGTCATCGTCATCATAGATTTATTTATGATTCTGACCTTTAAATACAGTACCTCAAATTCATATTAACCAACGTTTGCTGTTGTGGCAGATGTCATATTCTTCATCGTCAGCAGGTCTACGTCAAAGAGAAGTGTCCCTATTTTGTATGGTCCAACGCGTCTACGACCAACTGGCGATTTCCAAGTGAGAAAAGTTTTGGAAACAATTCCACCATCTTTTAGGGTCGTTTTATTAAACGAAGGCAAGTGATGATCTGTCAGTTAATCGAATAGCTCATTGATACCGTTGGCCTTCAGCAGCTATTCATTCATATCCCGGTTGTATCATCTCACTTTAACGATGCTTCATGACGCTTAAGGACCGCAAATATTTCGAGTCTTTAAATAAGTGCCGCGAATACGGCTGCTTTCAGGTTTTGCTAATTCGAATCCAATTCGCTGGCCACTTCAGGGTCACTGTCGCTATCGTCTGCCAACACAATTCGAAGGTGTTTTAAATGGCCCTCCTCTTCTATCGTAATGCCGCCATTCTATAATATCTTTTGACTACCGCTTGTGGCGACCCGTTCTTCATCTTTTCTGCATTGAGCATCAACAGGCGATTTGCGGAGTTGCTCAGCAGCAAGACGTCGTGGCCATTCTCAATGCCCGTTAGTAATACCTCCGGGTCTCTGGTTATGCGGCACTGACCAACGGTCAGTTTTTTATTGATTTCTTTGGCACGACATACCTCCTAATAACGTAGTTCGCCATGATGCTGAAGAAATGATGAGAGCTCCTCGCTTTAACCAACCCCACTGGTAATGCTGAACCAGCCCGAGAGTGATCCTTCATTTCGGGCGACGTATTTAGTCTGCTCGTACAAATCTTCGATCAGCTTTGTCATTGCCTGTGGAATTTTGTAATGTCGAATAACACAGCACATGGTCTGAATCGAAGGTTGCCCGGTGACTCACTTCAGCACAGAGATGTGGCCAGTGCATGTGTTCTCACTTGGAAAGCTTGTTTTGTTAGTTGAACGCGATCGATCGATCGATGCATTCCCTCAGTCGTCTAAGAATGATTCGCGCTAAGACCTTTTGAAACACCTGCTGAAGGGTGACTTCTCAGTAGGTGCAATCTTCGCGACTTTCACTCTCGAAGATCAGGGTTTTCCCGGCTCACTTCAATCTCCGGGGATTACCGACTTTTGCTACATGTCGTCGAATGCCAGATGGATCTAGCAGACTGAGTATTCACCCCTTAAACTTAAGGATCTGCGTGTCCACAGGACCTCGAGCTTCAGCAGATTTGTATCGCCTCTCGGATTTCTTCGATCGATGTTTCGGCACAATGAACATCTACATGTCTTCCAACTTCTTCTTCCGTTTTGCGATTTACAGGAGGTCATCGCCAATGGAAGAACTCTGCGAAGTGATCGGCCCATCCTTTCCGATGGCCATCAGCATTTTGCAGCCGATGATTGAACTTACAGTATGACAGAACGAGATGGGGTAGAATTTTGCTTGTCACAGCTGTAATTGTATTCAGCTGACCAACAGCATCGTCCAGCCTCCCCTTTCGCCGCTGCGTTTTCCAGCTTGTGCGGTTTTAGGTCCAGTCATCTTTACCTGTCCTTGCGGTGGCTCCTATTGACTGCTTCGAGGAGAAGGCAACAGGCTCATTTCTTTCTCGCGTAAGGTCATCTGTTTCGCAGCATTTCTTTCCTGACAAAGATTTAAAGTTCGCCTCGTGACCCATGCTGCTTCGTCTTTTTGTTTAGTGGTCTTAGCAGCCATAGCCACGATGTCTTCTGTCAGGCAGGTGTACATCAACCCCGGGTCCTGGCAAATCTTAGAGTCTATAGCGGCACATCTGATATCGATCTCTATCTGGAATACCTCAGTGGTGAAGTGCTTAACTCCTTTAATTTGCCTACGTCAAAGCTTCTTTTCCTACTTTCCAAGATTTTGCCAGATGCACAAGTAGCCTTGCGATTGCTAGCAGATAGTCCATTTGAATGTCCGCACCTCCCTTCCTCCGAGTGTCGTGACGGACACTGCGCCATTTGTCACCGATCATCACGTGATCAATCTGGCTAAGGTAGTGTCCCCCTGGCGCTGTCTACGTCAGCTAATAAATGCGACTATGCGGTAAACGCGTCCCACCAATTGCCATGCATAACGCAAAGGTCTGAGAGCTGCTGGCCATTGTTATTA